TCGATCGATCGATCCGCCTCCTCCTCCCACTCGGGAGCCCGGGGCTTTCACTTGGCTGCAGTCCCTCATCCCTCATCCCGAGCCGTCTCTTCGACGGCCCTTGAGGCACGGGAGGGACCCATGGAGCCCGGAAACGGCTGAAAGCCTCGGGACCCCTCTCCATCGGGGCGACGACAACAACTGACGACAACGACGACGACGATGACGACGACGACGACGACGACGACGACGACGACGACGACGACGACGAACGACGACGAACGACGACAACGACGACGACGACGACGACGACGACGAATGGCGGCGACGAAGCAGAGGAATGGTTGCATCTGTCGCTGATCATCAAAACGAGCAATGGGGCCCAAGGCTGCTTGTCCACCGAAGCCGTGCAGTTACGACGCAGACGGTGCAGTAAGGGCCGACACAGGCTGCGCGCTATCGGTGGAGCTGAGCGGGGTTACACACAAACACACACACACACACACACACACATGCTGGGTTGCGACACGTCTCGGGTCGAACGGAAGGGGGTGTTGCAACGGGGGGCGCTAGCGAATCAGCTCGCGCAGCTGGCTTTCTCGCCGCATCTCAGCGCCAGGGGCTGCATCCCCACGCCGGGCGGCGGGACCGAAACGAGCTGCCTCCAGCAGGTTTCGTCCCCCAACCCCTCCCCATCCCCCCCCCCTCCTCAGGGGCCTGAGGGGGAAGGGAAGGGGGGACAGGCTGAGGGGGCGGAGGCCGAGGGGTAATCGAGCGGGAATCGGCGATGCAGTGCCGATAGATCGGCGATAAGCCCCCGACAGCGAAGCCACACCCTCCTGGGCGGGGTGCGCAGTCGAGCCCCCGCCGGCAGTCCATGGGCGATCAGGAGTCGATGCGCCCCCCCCCCTGAGCCGATCCTCCCCTAACGGTGCCCCTGACGTCCTCCGTCCGACCCAAGCGCCCTGAAGATCGCCGATCCTGCAGCTGCCTCTGCCCTGACCGCTCCCTGCCCCCCGCCAGCGCGCGCATGGCCTCGGAATCCGCCGCGTCGCTGTCCGCCTCAACCGCCTTGGCAGGCCTCTTGACAAACTTGCCCACCAGCAGGTGCTGCGAGGGGGGAGGAGGAGGAGATTGAATATAGCCGCGGAGGGTGGGAGTGGTAGTAGTAGTAATAATAGTAGTAATAATAGTAGTAGTAATAGTAATAGTAATAGTAATAGTAATAGTAATAGTAATAGTAATAGTAATAGTAATAGTAATAGTAATAGTAATAGTAATAGTAATAGTAATAGTAATAGTGATAGTAATAGTAATAGTAATAGTATAGTAATAGTAATTAGTAATTGTAATAGTTAATAGTAATAGTAATAGTAATAGTAATAGTAATAGTAATAGTAATAGTAATAGTAATAGTAATAGTAATAGTAATTAGTAATAGTAATAGTAATAGTAATAGTAATAGTAATAGTAATAGTAATAGTAATAGTAATAGTAATAGTAATAGTAATAGTAATAGTAATAGTAATGGTAATAGTAATATTAATAGTAACAGTAATAGTAATAGTAATAGTTATAGTAATAGTAATAGTAATAGTAATAGTAATAGTAATAGTAATAGTAATAGTAATAGTAATAGTAATAGTAATAGTAATAGTAATAGTAATAGTAATAGCAATAGTAATAGTAATAGTAATAGTAATAGTAATAGTAATAGTAATAGTAATAGTAATAGTAATAGTAATAGTAATAGTAATAGTAATAGTAAATAGTAATAGTAATAGTAATAGTAATAGTAATAGTAATA